TTGGCAAAGGACCAAAAATCCCAGTAGGGAGGGCTTGTGGGCCCATCTCAGGGGTCAATACTCTATAGGAGATGGCACTGAGGTCCAGTCCTGCACTACCCTCTGTGGCTCCGTGGAGGAAATTGACGGATTTAGGGTGTTCTGTTGAGGAACAAATGTCATGGCCCCCAAAATTTGTTGGGATGGGGCCTGGGGCCAGCCTCGCTTTTAGTTTTTTGAACTTTATTTATTTAATGAATTATCTTTTTTATCAGTTTTGGAGTGACATTTATTGGCCCAATGCCTTTCCCTTTAGCACCAGGGGCAAATCCCAGGAGGAGGGGCTTTTTTGATGTTTGACTTTTGGACAATATTTGTACATGTCCCTGCTGCCCACATTGATAGCACCCTCATTTATCAGGCATAGCCCTCCTTGTTGATTTTTGTAATGACATACCAAGCATAGTGGCAGGTCCTGAATGTTCTGTTTTTTAAATGAATCCATTTTGCTAATTCCTCATCAAAGGGACTGTCACAGAACACCTCAGCCACAATAGCCAATCAATCCATATCTGTGTTATACTTATGTTTTGTAGAATTTACAGTACTGTGGGCAGTACTAGGCAATCTTCACACAGCACCAGAAAAGGATCCATACTGAGAATTAAACATCATTAGTAATCATCACAGGCACATTTTTTTAAACTTTTATTTAATGAATATAAATTTCCAAAGTACAGCTTATGGATTATAATGGCTTCCCCCCCATAACGTCCCTCCCACCCGCAACCCTCCCCTTTCCCACTCCCTCTCCCCTTCCATTCACATCAAGATTCATTTTCGATTCTCTTTATATACAGAAGATCGGTTTAGTATACATTAAGTAAAGATTTCAACAGTTTGCTCCCACACAGAAACATAAAGTGAAAAACAATAGATGATTTTTTAAATGATGATGAAATCAGGTCAGACCTATTTTCATGTTTAATCCCAGTGAGAGTCAAGTTGGGAATTGATAATTTCTTTTTTTTTTTTTTTTTTTTTTACAGAAGATCAGTTTAGTGTACATTAAGTAAAGATTTCAACAGTTTGCACCCCCATAGAAACACAAAGTGAAATATACTGTTTGAGTACTCGTTATAGCATTAAATATCAATGTACAGCACATTAAGGACAGAGATCCTACATGAGGAGTAAGTGCACAGTGACTCCTGTTGTTGACTTAACAAATTGACACTCCTGTCTATGGCATCAGTAATCTCCCTATGCTCCAGTCATGAGTTTCCAAGGCTATGGAAGCCCCTTGAGTTCTCCGACTCTTATCTTGTTTAGACAAGGTCATAGTCAAAGTGGAGGTTCTCTCCTCCCTTCAGAGAAATGTACCTCCTTCTTTGATGACCTGTTCTTTCCACTGGGATCTCACTCACAGAGATCTTTCATTTAGGTTTTTTTTTTTTTTTTTTTTGCCAGAGTGTCTTGGCTTTCCATGCATCACAGGCACATTTAACGTTCAGCTTGACTGCGTGTTCCCCCAGGATGAAACAGCAGCAGCAGAGGCTTGCTCCGGCTCCTCCTTAAAGCCATTAACGTTCAATGTGACTGTTGATAAGTAGTAACTTTGCCCTGCCATTTTCCCAAAGATATTTTCTAATACATGCTTTGAACTTCCTGTGATCTTTTACTGGGAGGTTTTCTTCCTTTACCTTCTTTCATATTGATGACCATGTTTCTGTGTTTCTGTGTGTAACACATTTTTAAGCATCTTTTGCAGGGGCTGGTCGAGTGGCAACAAATTCTTTCAATTTCTGTTTGCTATGAAAGTTCTTTATTTCACCTTCATTCACAAATGATAGCTTTGCAGGATATAATATTCTGGGCTGGCAGTTTTTCTCTCTTAGTACCTGGGCTGTATCTTGCCATTCCCTCCTAGCCTGTAGGGTTTCTGATGAGAAGTCAGCTGTGAGTCTGATTGGAGATCCTCTGAGAGCAATCTGACGTTTCTCTCTTGCACATTTTAGAATCTTTTCTCTATGTTTCACTGTGGTGAGTTTGATTACAATGTGTCGTGGTGAGGATCTCTTTTGGTCATGTTTATCAGGGGTTGTATGAGCTTCCTGTACTAGGATGTCTCTGTCCTTCTCCAAACCCGGGAAGTTCTCTGCTAGTATCTCACTAAAAAGGCCTTCTAATCCTTTCTCTCTCTCCATGCCTTCAGGTACTCCTAGAACCCAAATGTTGTTTTTTTTTTTAATAGTATCCTGTAGATTCCCAAGAATATTTTTTAGATTTCTAATTTCCTCTTATTTTCTTTGGTTTGACTGTATACTTCCCTGTGTTCTGTCTTCTAAGTCCGATATTCTCTCTTCTGCTTCACTCATTCTGTTTTTAATGCTCTAATGCGTTTGTCATTTGATCTATTGATATCTTCATTTCATTTTGATTTCACTATCACAATTTCATGTTCTACTAGTTTCTTCATTTCATTTTGATTCCTCCTTAAGATTTCATTTTCATGAGAGAGATTTTCTATCCTGTCCAGTAAGGATTTCTGTAGTTCAAGAATTTGTTTTTGAGAACTTCTAGATGTTCTTATCATAAATTTTTTTGAAATTTGTATCTTGTATTTCTTCTATCTCATCATCTTCATAATCTTGAATTGGGGTGTCTTGTTCATTTGGAGGTGTCATGATGTCTTCCTTGTTCTTGTTTCCTCGGTTTCTGTGTTTGTTGCTTGGCATTGTGGATATAGTCTTTTGTTTCTTTTTTTTCCCCCCTTGCTGTGGTGGGTTTTCTTGGTATACTATGACCCTAGATTAAGTGGACTGTCTGCTTTTGATGGATCCTTAGAGGCTTGTGATGGGTGTGGCCAGTGAGCTCTGTTGGATTCTTCAGGGTTAAGGGTGTGCCAAAGGTGACACACCCAGGTTAGGTGTGGTAAATCTCTCTCTCTCTCCCTCTCTTTCTCTCTCTCTCTCTCTCTCTTTTTTTTATTCAGAAGGGAAGTAAATCTGCACAGCTGAGCGGAGTTGAAGGCAGTACTGAGCTCTGAGCTCTGGCCCCTCCCTTTCCAGCACTGGTGCATAGACTTGGTGGCTGGGGTCCCGAGCCTTGGGCACCTGTGCCCTCCACGTAGGTCCACTGTGTCCCACTAGTTCTGGAAGAGTTTCCTCTGTGGTTTTTTACCTAACTCTTCCCTGAAACTACAGTATCTCCACTTTTATTAAACTATCCTTTCCCAAACTATCAATGTGCTCCCTCCCTATTCCACCATCTTGGAGGAAGCCCATAGAGTTCTTATGACAGTATATTTTTATAATTGTTCTATTATTAGCTGTCATTTATCTCTAAGTGTGCCTAATTTATCAATTTAACTTTACTGTAGGAATGTATATGCAGGAAAAATATTGCAAATATGAGGTTCAGCACTTTTCAAGCATCTGAGGAGGGTCTTGGAACAGATTCCCATATATAAGGGGGATCCACTATACTCCTGAGGTATACCTGGCTGGGTTAGTCTGTTGAACACCTGAGAGAGTACAGTGTCCCTGCCAGAGGGTGTGGAGATCACCCCATCGCTGAAGTCACAATGGCAGTTGCTGTGTGATAATCACTCTACCGCACTTACAGAATGATTTTCCACTATGGCCAGATTTAGGAGCTGTTTGACCGGATGTTTGTCCCCAGAAATGATAAACGGAAAATACCATGTGTCTGTAACAATGGGATTAGCCCTAGACTCTGAAGGGACCAGGATTTAAGGCACATGATGAGAGGGACGAAATAGAGCTTGAGAGTAACCGAGAACAGCACCAGTGAGCCAAGACTCATGGCTATGGGGGAGAATGGACTGCAACTGAAAAATGGCAGAAAGCAAATGAGCATGAGGGAGATTGTTTCTCAGTGAAATGAGGAAGAAGGAAAAAAAAAATGTAAATGGTGAATAGTTCAAATTGTCGCCTTAGGGCACTGGCCTATGAAGTGACACAGCTGTTTACTTTAACTCTGGTGGTTTTTAGGCCAGACCAGAGAGAAAATGTGATAATATTCACTGTGTTGAAATAGTTAAAGGTGAATTCTATGGATTGGTCTCAATCAGTCAATCATAATTTTCTGTCTCCATAGCTCATCTTTTTGGTTCCTTTGAGCTAAACACTCTAACATTAGGTTCCTAAAAGAGAGAAGTCTATTTGGTGGTGTCTGAACAAGTTAGGAGCTATAAAAAGAGTTTAGTTTCTTATGTTAGCTCTTTAATTAAGAGTCTTGTGTGGGGAAGATCACTCTGGTTGAGTGGGTAGTTCTCTACAGTCTCCAATGAAACATGAAATAAAATAATAATTTTGTGATAATGTATAGTAACTCCCTGACATAAATGTCCATATCCATTGCTTTGGCCCTTAGAAATAGGTATTAATATACCAAGATTACCTGCCTAACCACTTTTAATATGAAGAGAGAGTGGATTAATATGATTTAATATGAAGATAGAGTAGGGGCAAGAGTACTGTGGGGAGTTTCTTAGAATTTTGTATGCATAAGCAAATATCAAAAAATACTGAAGTTAGAGCAAAATCCGTCATCACTTTTCCTCTAACAAGGCTGTAGCACTATAACCTGTCTTCTCCTGTAGAACCCCTCCTTTCTCTATTGGCATTTTCTTTACTGTTTGAACATCTCCGAGAAATTCACTGAATCTCTGCCCCTTTCTTCTCTATTTCCATCTCTATTGACCTTTGGGAAGTTTTTTAAAAAAATCACTGTTTAGGGCCTTTGTGCAGGTCTTTTCAGTGAGGCAACAAAGAGTTAAAACAGTTGCCTGGGAAATGCAAGCTGATATATGGCCAATCTTGGTTATTTAGACAAATTGGTCAGCCATCTTCCTGAGGGGTTTAACTTATATAAGAAATCTAAATCTACATAGTAGATTAGTATTATCTTGATCCCTTTATTAATTAATTTTTTCAAATCATAAGTTAGAGTTACTGTATTTTTGATATTTGAATATTTACCATGATTTCCCCTAGATTTCAGTATAAATGCCGAATTGGGCTGAAAGTATATGGTACCGGTATTGGTTCTACTAAACAGGAGGCAAAACAGTTGGCTGCTAAATCTGCATATCATAAGATACTATCAGAAGGAACCTTAATGGTATGTAGGAACTGCCTCTAGATTTTACTTTATTTTCCAATTTCCTTTTATGTTGATTTGAAGTTAGAATTGTTTACATAAGGCTGGAGCAGCCAGTTGCATAGCAAAATGGTTCTTCTATTCTGTGTCTCATCAGGGAGCCAGGAGCCATTGGGGTGGGAAGCTCCGGGAGGGATGCAAGTTCTACTGGCCACCCAGGGTTGCTTTTAAAATCCAGATTCAACATCCACAAAAAATATGTTAATGTTGTCATTGCTGATGTTTGTAGGTTTGGTCTGTGGAGAAGTAAATGTGGTAGTTAGGGCCCAGAGACTAAGCCATGGTAGGGAAGTAATGTAATTGCATTTATACCTATTGAGGACTGCTCTTTATTTCAGACAATTAACTCTACTTCTCCTGGTTCTGTTGCTACTACAATTAATGACTTCAGAAACATCGCTTTGGTATCACACACATGGTAAGTTAGGACAGACAACTGTGATATTTAACATATTCCAACTGCTCTTGGAAAAAGTAATTTTTATGAAAATGTTTAGTGGTTAAAGGAAATTTAGAGAAAGAAATCACTGATAAAATGCTTCGTAAACTAACAGCTATTCCCCTTTCTTTAGTGGTTCTGAATCGCCATCTGAAAATTACTTCTCAACAACTGTGCCAGAAGGAAGTTATAATGATGACAGTTTAAACAATTCTTCGTCATCTTCTATGGTACAGTAGCAGTGTCTCCAAGATTCCTACTTCATCTTGTTTTCCTGTTTGTTTCCTCATTTAAAAGTGACCTCCACATCCCACTGTAATTTTTATATTTTTATCTTATGTACTCTTACAACATAATAGTATGTATTTCAGATAGCTTTTCACTGTGTCTCATTTTATTAACCCCTACTCACATGCAAAATTCTATACCTCCTTCCCAACTTTCCCTACTCCCTCTGTATTTATATATATATATATCTTTCTTTGATTTTTTTTCTTTCCTACCAAATGGACAATATTTGAAGTTTGTATTCTAATATAGATCTGTTCTTGTTTTAAAAAATCAGAAGGGGGGCTGGCATAGTGGGTAAAGCCACCACATGCAGTGTCAGCATCCCATGTGGGTGCCATTCGTGTCCTGGCTGCTTCACTTCCAATCTAGCTTCCTGCTATGGCTTGGGAAAGCAGTGAAAGATAGCCCGGGTCCTTGGGCCGCTGCGCCTGCATGGGGGACCTGGAGGAAGCTCCTGGCTCCTGGCTCCTGGCTTTGGAACTGCCCAGCTCCAGCTGTTGGGGCCATTTGGGGAGTGGAGCAGCAGATGGAAGACCTCCCTCACTCTCTTAGCCTCTGCCTCCCTATAACTCTGCCTTTCAAATAAATAAATAAATGTTTAAAAGAAAAAAATCAGAAGGAACCTCAATAGGTTCCTCCAAAATTCAGTGAGTTTCTCAAAAATCAGGTCATTTTTACAGTGAGGTTCAATGTCAAATAACTATTCTGATAAATAACTACAAATTAATAGGAAAAAGCAACTCAATAGGAAAATATAAAATGACTCTAACAAACAATTTAGAGAAGAGTTGCTCAGAGGGGAACACCCATGGAAAGATGCTTTTCTTTACTAAGAGTCAAAAAATACAAATCAAACCAACAGTTAGATACCAGTGCTTGATGAGAATACAAATATTGGTGAGGGTATTAACCTTTTTTTTTTTTTTTGAAAAAATATTCATTTATTCTTTTACTTGAGAGACTGAGAGAGATAATGAAAGAGAGAGAGTGAGAGCGCACACGAACCCATCCTCTCTCACTCCCCAAATGTCCACAGTGGCTGAGTTGGCCAGGTCAGAGGTCAGGAGCCAGGAACTCAACCCTAGCTTCCCACATGGGTAGCAGGAATGCAGTAACTGCTGCCTCCCAGGGTCTACATTAGCAGGAAGGAGGAGTCAGGAGCTGGAGCTAGGTATTGAACCCAGGCACTCTAATGTGGAATATGGTGTCTGAACCTGTAGGCCAAATGCTTGCCCCAAAGCTGTTAACCTATGGGCTAAGAAATGTGGCAGAGAGCCAGCTAGAAGTAAAAGGGGAAGAATAGCAAGAGAGAGCTAGATGATTGATTTAATCCTCTGAAACTCTTTCCCATTTTTTTTATTATAGAATGTCTCCAGAAATAATCATAAGAAGATAAAAAGGTTAGTATCATCATGTATTGAAAATATTTGGAGGTTTTATTTCTGTTTTGGTCTATGGACTTTATTTATCAAGTCTTCAGTGTTTGTAGTGTACACTCTTACTTGAGTTTCAAAAGTAGAAAGCATGCTAGAGGTTCACAAAAAGCTTTAAATTTACAAACCATTTTAAAGATGGAGAGAAATAATTGAATAGAGGCCTATACTATGCTGTGGACCTAAACCCCTATTGGCATATTGCTAGTGATTAGTTAAGGATGGTCTGTGGACGAGTTGTCAGGGAAGCAAGACTTTTCAAGAGAAGTGCATTATTTTGCAGACAAGTTGGTCGAGTAAAATTAGTATGATAACTCTGGTCAACCTGATTAAATGTTAGATAAATTTTGTTGGGTTGGTTTCCTTAACTGAAGATAGAAGCAAGGTTGTACATGTTGTCAGAAATGAGAGTGAGCTGGTAACAGGTGCCATCATGAGCCACCACTCCACCCTGAGCAGCAGAGAGGAAAGATGATTGCTGATAAGGAAGTTTGGGTGGAAAGAAGAGATCTGTGCCTGTGAGATAATTAGGCCTGTAGCCACGGTTAGTCTGGCAGTGGGGAGGGATGAAGAGAATTTGTGAGAATGGCTATAAAGGAAGAGTGAACGTGGCTTGAAGAAATCAAGTTCCATAGCTTGGCGAGAGGTAGAAGAAAAAGCAAAGGGGAAGAATTTTCAAGATCACTCCATTTTGGACAGGATGCAGACAAGAGTCATGGTACTGATGGTGTTAAAGAAGCTGAAGACTTGAGGGGTTCGTAGCAATTTGGGTAAGTTTAGTTTTAGGTGGTGTTTGAACCTCCAGTTGCAGTAACTTACTACTGGTAAGGCGTAATGAGCTGGATGAAGGTGCAGGACCTGTGCCTCTGAGGTCTTGAGTTAGGAGAAAGAAAAGGAGGGACTAGCGGCATGCCAGTAATGAGGGTGTTAAATGAAAGAAGCAGCCAGGAAAGGGGTGAAAAATTATTAGAGAGCAACCATATGTGTATATAGTTTTGTAATGAAAAAGGCTAATAGTTGCTACCTGTTATAATAGTTGACTCAAAATGTAAAAAGCCCACTATAAGGCATAAAACTCATTTTCAACAAGTTATATTTATTTTCAGTATGATTTTTTTTACAGTCTTTTCTGAATTTTTAGGCATTTGGCGCCTACATTTAACCTGCCTGATAAAGAAGCAAGCAAGTATACTGTGAACCCCAGGTAGGGTAGGATGGTGAAGTAGAATTTTTAAAAAATGTTTTTGTTCATTTGACAAAATTCTGTAAGGGCTGATTATAAGTTGAAATTGTATTTCCACCCAAATAATTTAATTATAGCATAAGCAGGTCCACCAAGGCCACTGTCTTTTGGAAAAACAAGGTTTACGTGATTCCACTTGGAATGTGGCAAATGTGATGCTTTGGTGAATCTCTTTGAAATCTATGGAAGTTTTTAATATTGAAAGCAAATACACCTATAAATCAGTGATTAAAAAACAAGGTGTTCCCATAAGAAGCAAAATAGATCCATGTGAATCTCACTTCTAGCTCCATGCCAGATTTCACTTGAAAAAAGGGCTCCTCTGCTGTAAAAAGTAGGATTTTAAATGAAATAAGTAGAGGAGACCTATTTGCAAGAGGAGGGGTACATTGAATGCAAAATTTTAAAAAAATCCAAGAACCAACAAATATTTATTAATCTCCTAATATACAAATGGTCATATTCCTGGCACTGTGCTGGACATTGGTTTGATAGGAAGAAGAAATAGAAAGAGTTCCTGCTCAAGTGGAATTTTGCGGGAATGATTGACATTAAATAAGCAATCATCTGAAAAAGTCTCCTATTACAAGCCAGGGTCTGAACTCTGGAGGAAAAACAATGACATGGCACGAAATGGAAACAGGATCCTCAGAGTGAGGGATGGGGCAGGGCTGCTCAGAGCTGACATCTGTGGGGAGGCCTGAAGGATGAGGTAGTGCAGAGAGACAGAATCAGACAGTTTTCATTGCTCTGGTTGCTGGGTGGATAGTAGGTTGGAGCCGGGGCAGGAGAGAAAGTGGGGTGTCCAGTTAGCAAAGTAGTGTAGGATCCTGATGGAGGTATGGGCTGCATGCAAAATTTTGGAGGTAGAGAAAAGTGGGCAGATGCCAGTGATACATTTTGAAAATTATTTTTTTGTTTGTTTGTTTTGGTTTTTTTTTTTTAATTTCTTGAGCTTGACAGGCAGAGTGGACAGTGAGAGAGAGAGACAGAAAGGTCTTCCTTTGCTGTTGGTTCACCCTCCAATGGCCGCCATGGCCGGCGCACTGCGGCCGGAGCACCGCGCTGATCTGATGGCAGGAGCCAGGTACTTATCCTGGTCTCCCATGGGGTGCAGGGCCCAAGCACCTGGGCCATCCTCCACTGCACTCCCTGGCCACAGCAGAGAGCTGGCCTGGAAGAGGGGCAACCGGGACAGAATCCGGCGCCCCAACCGGGACTAGAACCCGGTGTGCCGGCACCGCAAGGCGGAGGATTAGCCTAGTGAGCCGTGGCACCGGCTGAAAATTATTTATTGATTTATTTTAATTCTTTATTTGAAAGACACAGAGCAATTTTTCATCCACAAATACCTACAACACCAAGGTCTGGGCACCAGGCTGAAGCCAGGAGCCCAGAACTCAATCTGAGTCTCTTACCTGGGTGTCAGGGACCCAAGCACTTGAGCCATAACCTGCTGCCTCCCAGGGTGCACATTAGTAAGAAACTGGATTAGAAGCAGAGGATCTGGGACTTGAACCAGCACTCCTGTGTGGGATTTGTGCATCCTAACCAAATGCTATGCCCAGTGGTCCTCCTGCCAGTGTTATTTTTTGGAAGTAGAGTTGGCAAGACTTAATGATGGGATGTAGGGCATGAGAGAGAAGAGAAAACAAAGTAATGATAAACTAAGACAGGCTCAATGTATCTGTTTGTGTCTGTTCTAACAGCTTGGTGGTGTCTGTGCAACACAATATGGTGGTTCTTTCTAAAGTTTCATACCTGTGATTTGAGCCTTTGTCATGGCTTTTGTACAGGCATGAGTTGACTGTGACTCACAAGGGTGATCAGTTATGTTGGATTCTCCATGGGAGAAATTACCCTTTGTGAGTCAATCTGCAAAATACGACTCTTTTTTGGAAGGGGAGAACTGTGTTCGTTATACAGACCATTTCACTAGTGACATTAAAGGGAAAACTAGAGAGGAAGGGATGAACTGCACGACCTCAGAATAATTATGGGTTTTATCTTCAAGGTTCGCCAACGATTTTAAAGAAATAGAACCAATTGGCGCAGGTGGATTTGGCCAAGTTTTCAAAGCAAAGCACAGAATTGATGGAAAGACTTATGTTATCAAACGTGTTAAATATGATAGTGAGTAAGTAGTGAATGTCATAGTTTTTTAAGTGAGAAAGTCTGTTGAAACGTCACTATTCTTTTGTGTTCATTTTCTTCTTCCTGATCACCCTTAAACACTTCCTTCTACCCAGAGGAGCGTGGCTTACTCTGAAATGATCTTACTTTAGTGTAGGTATTTCGGTTCTAAAAAATGGATCTACTATTGATCATCCCTTTGAGGCTGCCTTGGAAACTGAAGCTGTGGAATTATTGGATTTAAGGTGACCTTTGAGATTTTCTAGTCTCATTTTATAGAGGAGACTGACATCCAAAGGTGTGAACTGATTTGTCCGAGGTAAATGCTAGTTGATAGTTGTTCTGGTTATCTATCATTACATAATACAACCTTCCCAAGATGCAGTGACTTAAAAAGAGCAATTTGTTGTCTCTTCTGGTCCTGCGGGTTGGGCAGTTCTTGCTTAGGTTCTCCCAGCCTTGTTTTTGGTCATGTTGGATATCCAAGATGGGCAGCAGGTGATGCTGTCTGTGGGCTGGGAGTTCAGTTGGGACTGTCAAGCAGGGCACCTCCTAATGGCCTCCTCAGGTGACCTGGGTTTCTCGCCACTTAAAGGCCATGTTTCAAGAAGGATTTGTCCCCAGAACCAGTCTTGCAAGAGACCAGGAGAGTGGCGAGGCTTCTTTTCAAAGTTCTAGAATGTCACTTCTACCACATTATGTTGGTTACACAAGTCACTAAGGCAACTCAGATTCAAGGGGAGGGCAGACAGGGTCTGCTTCTTCGTTTCTAGCAGCGGATGTGTGTGTGTGTGTGTGTGTGTGTGTGGGAAGGGAAGGAATTGATGAGAACGATCTTTGGATACTATTTCGCATATAACAAAATGGAGATTTAGAATGCTTTCTCTGGGGTGCCAATCCACTGTGTTCCCACTATAGCCAATTGCTTCCATGTTTTCTCTGTGTTTTATGTTGCTGTGTTTATGATGTGTCTGCCCCTCCCATGCCCGTTAGGTAGCACACTTCCTCAGAAAGGAAAACACCTAAGAAAGAAGACACCAGTCTTGCTTGTTGCTCTCTGGCACCTGTTACTCTATGTAACTTGGCCAGACCAGTCTCTCAAATACTAGAGGAAGAGATAGAAAAGGGATCTGGGCTAAGTAAAGTGACACGAGTAAAGGAGAAGTAGGCATAGAGTCCTACTTCTTCATTGCAGTCAAACCCACTTCCTGTCTGTGGACTATCCCTTGCATTTGAAATGCTCTCATACCTACTCAGCATCAAAATGAGGCTTTTTCTTCATTGTTTTAGGTTACAGGAGTGAAGTACTGTTGTTCATTCTATTTTTTTAAAGATTTATTTATTTATTTGAAAGTCAGAGTTACACAGAGAGGGGAGAGGCAGAGAGGGAGACATTTCTTCCATCCGATGGTTCACTCCCCAATTGGCCGCAACAGCTGGAGCTGCGCCAATCCGAAGCCAGGAGCCAGGAGCTTCTTCTGGGTCTCCCACATGGGTGCAGGGGCCCAAGGACTTGGGCCATCTTCTACTGCTTTCCCAGGCCATAGCAGAGAGTTGGATCAGAAGTGGAGCAGCCGGGTCTCGAAACGGCGCCCATATGGGATGCTGGTGCTTCAGGCCAGGGTGTTAACCCGCTGCACCACAGCACCGGCCCCCTGTTGCTCATTCTATTAGAAGGCAATTTTTAAAAATGGTAAATAAAAATGTTGATGAAGGTACAGTAGTATTTTAGGCATTTCTAGTGGCCTATAAATTTTAAGCATTTTAAAAATATACTTAAAATATGAACTATCTTCAAGAAGTTTGTGAACAGTGTGTATTGTGAAAAAACTAGGTTTTAAAATCTTTATTTTTGCACCAAAGTAAACTCATTTTTTGAATTCTATTTTTCATGAACTTTTTGAAATACCTTCATATAAATTCAGAGCTATAAAAATATTTATGTACTTTGATCCAAGAATTTTCAGTCTGAGGACCTGCTGTAGTAATATTATCCAAATTATGTCTAGCTACAAGAAGATATAAATATTTCATTCATAATAGTGAAAAATGAGAATGAGCAAAATAGTTACAAATTGTTTTGATCCCTAGCCCGATCAATGATTATATGGCAGCCTAAAAATTAATATTGCATCTGCAGTGTTTTCACATGAGATGATATGCTGTTGGAAGTTGCTTCAGAATAATCCAGGGGACAGTGAGCAAGTGGGTATGAGTGCAGATGAAAGCAGATTGGCCAGGAGTCGGTAACAGTTTCCTAGAGTATTTGCCCTACTTTTTTGTGTTTTTGAAATCTCACATTTAAAGATTATAAGTAACATTTATTTTTAAAAGAAAAACTATAAAGATAGCATGTTATGTGAAAAAAGATAATTATATACTCTAATTACAAATACATACCGGATGTAGACAAATATAAGTAATCCAAAGCAATGACACTATTTTAGGAATGTTGAGGTATCAGCAATTTTCTCTTGAATTTTACAAATTTTATGTCACATAGAACTTTTTTAAGTTAAAAAATAAAGTTGTACAATATTTATCCTACCTCATCTTTGGAATCTCAAGTTTATTGGCCACATTTAGCTTCTGGAAGCATCTTGGCTTTTGACAGTATTCTCTTATACAGCTCCCACAGTGTGCAGCCAAGTTTCTACTCTACACAAATCATGTCCTTTGTGTGTTTTCTCTACACATAGAAAATTCTGAATTGGGTTTTTCATGCTGTGTGGATCACCTGCCCTTGCTGCCCAAATGGGGCTTGCTTGTGAAATCTTACGACTTTAACACAAGCCTAAACAAAATATAATGTATGCATAGTTTAGCCATAAAAAATGGCAGCGCTGGCATTTCGAAGACTACACATACTATTTTTAAGTTGTCTGATATTTGGAATTTAGTCATTGCTTTGTCTTTGATATAATATATAATTCCCTGTATGTTTGTTTATTTCTTCTCAAGCTCTCCTGTCCTCTCTCTAAGACGTGTCTTGGGAATCACCACGATTGTTTCTTGGGGGAGTGGGGAGAGCTGTCCGCTGTGACTTGAGGTTCCCAGTTGCTGGCAGGGATGCCGACCGACAGGCTCATGTTCTCTGTTCCTCTTTACTAGGAAGGTAGAGCGTGAAGTCAAAGCATTAGCAGCACTCACTCATCCCAATATTGTTCACTACTACGGTTGTTGGGTCGGGCATGATTATGATCCTGAGAGCAGTAATTCGGATACCGAAAACAGCATGAATATGAATTTAGGGTAAGTACAAAGAGATCCTCATAACCATAATAGGATGGCAGGAAACTGTCATTTAGTGTGTGGGAGCCACTTGGTCAGACCACGAGGTACACATTTAAGTCACCACCACCTGACAGACAACGTTCTCTCACCATTATGCACATAAGGGGACAATGAATAGGGTTTTTTTTTTTTTCCTTGCTTGAAACTTGCTTTTCAAAACCTTTAACTGCTCAGCTGTTTTTAGAAATGTCAGGTGTAGCTTTCCCAGACTGCGTTGTTACACCTGCACCTTGGCTGCAGTGCAGGGCGTGAATGCAGGGTTGTGAAGAAAGTTTTCACGTGCGGATGCTGCACCCAGGGGCTCTCTCCTCAGCTGCCAACAGTTTCCCATTTTGCTCCTGGTGGGATGTGCTGTCACAGTGGGGATGCAGCTGTGCTTACAGTGGGCCGCAAAAAGAATTTGAAGTCTGTAAGCTGTGATGAGGGCGCCCCCAGCTGGCAGCATTTTATATCTTACCTCAGTTAAGCCACTGGAGATTCTAGACAGCTGTCAACTGCCTTTGACATTCTTCATCCTTTCACTGAAAGCCTGAAGCCATTGGCCTATTCATCACCTTGTGTAATTGAGAACTTCATCTTTAGTTTGAGGAGTTATTGTCGTGTGGGACTTCATCAACTTTTTATTTTTATTTTTTTTTTTAATTTTTTTGACAGGCAGAGTGGACAGTGAGAGAGAGAGAGACAGAGAGAAAGGTCTTCCTTTGCCGTTGGTTCACCCTCCAATGGCCGCTGCGGCCGGCGCACCGCGCTGATCCAATGGCAGGAGCCAGGTACTTATCCTGGTCTCCCATGGGGTGCAGGGCCCAAGTACTTGGGCCATCCTCCACTGTACTCCCTGGCCGCAGCGGAGAGCTGGCCTGGAAGAGGGGCAACCGGGACAGAATCTGGCGCCCCGACCGGGACTAGAACCCGGTGTGCCAGCGCCGCAAGGTGGAGGATTAGCCTAGTGAGCCGTGGCGCCGGCCAACATCAACTTTTTTTTTTTTAAAGATTTATTTTATTTCTTGGAAAGGCAGAGTTACAGAGAGAGAGGTAGAGACAGGCAGAGAGAATTCTTCCATTTGTTGGTTCACTCCCTAAATGGCTGCAAACAGCCACGGCTGGGCCAGGCCAAAGCCAGGAGCCAGTAGCTTCCTCTGAGTCTCTCCTGTGGGGCAGGGGCCTGAGAACTTGGGACATCTTCTGCTGCTTTCCCAGGCACATTATCAGGGAGCCGGATTGGAAGTGGAGCAGCCGGGACTTGAACTGGCACCCATATGGGATGCTGGCTCTGCAGACTGCTGCTTAACCTGCTACACCACAGCCCCAGCCCCAGCCCCAGCCCAAAAGGGACTTCATCAGCTTTAAGCAGATTCTTTGTTACCTCATCCTGTTTTCTAGCCCAAATGTGTTCAAAGAATATAAATCAATACTGAGGCCAACTCAGTTCAGAAAAAATATAAAAACCTGGTTAGCAAAATCAGCTAACTTGTATCTAAGGGCGAGCAGTTTGTTGGTGCTTCTCTTAGAGAAACTATGCTTACACAGTCATTTCAGGTTTGTTTTTCCTTTACCTCTCTCCTATTAGGCTGTAATCAAAGTAATGACAATGTCTCATTTTCTTATCTCCGTGTGCCAGTTCTGTTCCTTTCACAAATTAGATGCTTAGTAGAACAATGATGAATGAAAATGTTTCAAAAATTACTTTATGTAATGATGAAATTTGTTTTCTTGTAATTCTATTGTATTAATGCTCCTTTTCCTAGCAAGAGTCTTCAGCATTAAATAATGGCCAGGTTCATATTTCATAAATCAGCTACACAGAGCTCAGAACATTTGGAAACCTAGGATTTAAATAAAAATGTCTTCTTATTTTGACTTAAAATTATTATATATAGGTTTCTCTTTTAAGACATGTTTCGAGGTTCTTGAGAAGGTACAGTATAATTTTTTAAAATAAATTCTTTTTAAAATAAATTCTTTTTAAAATAAGTTTATTATTTTTAAAAATTTTATCTGGGAACAGGTGCTGTGGCATAGCTGATAAAGCCATTGCCTGTAGGACTAATATCCCATATGGGCGCTGGGTTGAGTCCCAGCTGTTCCACTTCCAATCCAGCTCGCTGCTAATATGCGTGGGAAAGCAGTGGAAAATGGCCCAAGTGCCTGGGCCCCTGCACCCACTTGGAAGACCCTGAAGAAGCTCCTGGCTCCTGGCTCAGAACAGCCCAGCTCTGGCCCTTGTGGCCATTTAGAGAGTAAACCGGCAGATGGAAGACCTCTTTCTCTGTCTCTGCCTCTCTCCTTCTCTCTGTAACTCTGCCTTTCAAATATATAAATCTTAAAAAAATTTGTTTGAAAGAGAGAGAGAGAGAAAGAAGGGAGAGAAGAGAGAGAGAGAGAGAGAGGGAATGAAACTGCATCAGTTGTTCAGTCCTTGAATGGCTCCAGCAGTCAGGGATGGACCAGGTTGAAGCCGGGAGCTGGGAGCTCAATCTGATCTCCTGTGTGGGTGGCGGGAATCCAAGTTCTTGAGCTACCACCTGCTGCCTCCCAGGGTTCACCTTAGCAGGACGCTGGAATGGAGAATGCAATCAGGACTTGAACCCAGGCACTCTGATATGGGACATGGGCATTCCATGTGGCAACTTACATTGTGCCAAACAGCCACTCTCTAAATTTATGTTTGTTGCTATTTTTTTTAAAGATTTATTTATTTGAAAGAACTACAGAGAGCAGTAGAGACAGAGATCTTCCATCTGCTGGTTCATGCCCCAGGTGGCTGCAATGGCAAGGGCTGGGCCAAGCTGAAGCCAGGAGCCAGGTTCTTGGGATAGCAGAGGCCCAAGCACTTAGGCCATCCTCTGCTGCTCTTCCCAGGCCATTAGCAGGGAGCTGGATTAGAAGTGGAGTAGCCGGGACAACTGGCCCCCACGTGGGATGTTGGAGACACAGGCAGCAGCTTTCCCGGCCACGCCACAATGCTGGCCCTGCGTTTAACATTCTGTGCATTTTATATCCAGAGTGAAGACTAGGTGCCTTTTGATACAAATGGAATTCTGTGACCTAGGGACATTGGAACAATGGATTGAAAACAGAAGACAACAGAAATCAGAAAAAGCTTTGGCTTTGGAGTTTTTTTGGCAAATAACAACAGGACTGAAATATATACATTCTAAAGAGTTAATTCATAGAGACCTGAAGGTGAGTGGAAAGTACTTTGTTGGTTGATAAGTATCATTTGGTAATTTTAAAATTTGCCTTTTCTGGTTTAAAATTATGATTGATTGACACGATGAATTAATGATCTCTAGTCTTCCAGGTTAGAGTAGGTCTAGAACTTGCCCCAGGTACCATCCTATATGCTAACATGGGAGCTCTCCAGGAAGGCAGACAGCCCTATCTGACGGGTAGTCAGGCCCCAGTTATAAACTCTTGGTAGCTGTTGTGTACTGACCGTTTCCGTGCAGGCGGGTACTGTGGCCAGCACAGCCAGCGGACTGCCCTGTGCCTGTCTCTGCTGCTGCTAAGGCGGAGAGACCCTGGTGACTGTGGCTTTGAGAACATGATTCCCTGCTTAGGTCCTTATTCTTGAGTTCTCTCACAGCACCTGCGTTCCCTCTGGTATTTTCCAGGTTAGAAATTTCAACCCCATTATTTTGCGGTAATCCAAAACTTGGGACATACATCATCCCTTAGTCTTTTCATTTTCTTCTGGCTTTCCTGGTCCGGATAAGCAGTTTTCCCATTTTTCCTTCTCATCATACATAAGGAGAAGAGGAAAGGACTTCTCACCACCTAACCTCTGTACCTATCCCCTGAATTTACTTAATTCCATCACATTCTAGCCCTGCTGAGTCCCAGCCCAGAACCTCTGCTTCCAGTTCTCTCATGGAGAACTGCTGTGCCCTATGGGCCTGGTTCCTTTGTTAATCCTTTTAGGATCACTCTGGATCCACCCTTTTCAGGTCTGGGCAGAAGCATGGTTTCTGTGTGCTTCTGTCATCCAAAATTTGCTGTAACCCGACTATAACTGTTCTTTCAAATGACCTGTAAGAAGTGATCTGATATTAATAGGCTCATCCAGAATAGATATTGAGACAGCATCATACATTGAGCTTCCTGTTTCTCAGAGTCAGGTGATAGCTGTAGGTGGGCCGAGCAGTTGCACTGGTGAACCCAGCACATTCCTACTTTATAACTCGCACATAGCAGAGGAACGTTAGTCTCCACCCCCGCCGCCCTCCCCACGTATCTGTAGCCTTTCTCGCATGTTATTGCCATTAGGTTCCCATCTGCTAATTGTGTCCTAATCCCTCTCTAACTTCTGCACAGACCTTTTCAGGCTGGCTTCTGTAAACTCCTGTTTCTGTCTTCCCTGGGTTTATGGTCTCTCAGTGCCTTTACCAGGGCCTCTCACAGGTGTTGTCCCATAAGGCCTGTTTGTAGATAGCCTAACATTGTATTAAAGGTCTGACCTTTTCAGGAATGGCAAAATATTAATTTCCTCATCAATAATCCTTTTTTATGGTCTTTAGAATATTGGTGAATACCTGTGCAACGAGTAGAACAGGGATGAGCATCCCTCACTCTGCTCTTTTTATTTATTTTTAAGAATCTGCCTAAAGAATTGCATGGGAAAAGTATGTCAGTGCTAGTGATCAGCTTCCAGTTCATTTGCTATGCTTTCAAGGGGGAGGGGATATTAATTAAGAAGGTGTCAAAGGCTTGGAGAAATTGACATAAGGGAGCCCCTAGGAAGAATTCTGCACAGGATACTCTGCAGCAAGGGTGGGACTGGACCCATTCAGAGACTCTTGGGGCTGGAAGGGAGCTTAAGGGTATCTACTTCAATCACCATCAGATTCTGAATTTGTATCTGCAATGTTTCCTCAAGTGGATGTCCAGCCCCATCCTGGGATAGGGAACTCTCCAGCTCCCATAGTTTGAACCACACTATTGGTATATTAAGATTTAGTAAAGCGTGTCTTTTGGTCTTTTCCACTGTCTAGTTCTGGAACAACCCCCCTGGGATCCTCTGGAATTAATCTACCTTCACCTGATGGCCCTTCAGATATTTAGAGGCAGATATGCCCCAAGCTACTTCTGTTGTCAGCTACAGAGTTCTTTTAGCTGGCATTTCAAAGACCTTTGGTATTAAATTCTCTGATTAGGGCTACCTGTGTAAAGTAAATATAAATGTAAGTAAATATAAAAATAGCCATTGCCAAAGATGATTATGTGGTTACACTCTGTCAAATTTGTACATATAAATCAAATTTTTTTCCATAGCCAAATAACATATTTTTAGTGGCTATAAACCAAATAAAAATCGGAGACTTTGGACTTGTAACATCCCTCCAAAATAATGAAAAGCGAACAGTTAATAAGGGAACTTTACGATATATGAGTCCAGAACAGGTAAGATCTCTTTCCTTTCTATCTCATATGTATATATTTATATATATATATGTATATATATGTGTGTTTTATAAAAATTTTTATTTATTTGAGAGACAGATTGAGAGTGAGCACCCAACCATTAGACCAAGCACCTACCCTGTGTCTGCATACAGTTTTCTTTAAATCATATTTTCAGTTATAAAAATAGTATAGAAGTACACAGAATAAGAACTGAATGGGTGAGTGGCCCTGCAGTTAAAATGTTGATTAAGATGCCCGTTTTCCATGTCAGAATCTGGGTTTGATACTTAGCTCCAGCTTCTGACTGCAGCTTTCTGCTTAGACCCTGAGAGCTAGTTGTGATGGCTCAAGTACTTGAGTTCCTGCTACTCACACGAGAGACCTGGTTTGAGTTCCCAGCCCTCAGCTTTGGTCCTGGCCCATTCCTGGCCATCACAGGCATTTGAGGGAATGAACTAATGGATGGAAACTCTGTCTTGTCTCTGTCTCCTTGCCTCTCAAATAAATATATAAAAAATATTTTTAGGGGCCAGCGCTGTGGCGTAGTAGGCTAACCCTCTGCCTAGGTGCCAATTCACGTCCCAACTGCTCCTCTTCTGATCCAGCTCTCTGCTTATGGCAGGGGAAAGCAGTGGAAAATGGTCCAAGTGTTTGGGCCCCTGTACCCATGTAGGAGGCTAGGAAGAAGCTTCTGGCTCCTGGCTTCAGGTTGGCCCAGCTGTGGCCATTGCAGCCATCTGGGGAGTGAACCAGCAAAGGAAGACCTTTCTCTGTCTCTCCCTCTCTGTAACTCTGCCTCTCAAATAAATAAATAAAATCTAAGGAACTATGAAAGACACTATAAGAAAGAAAGAATTGAAAATTCCTCTTTTTCTTCCTGTCCACTCCTATTCTCAGCAAAGTTTGTTCTTTATCTTTTTCAGTCATTTTCTATGATTTATAAACATATACAAACATGAAACATATGCACAGCAGCCTTTTTTACATAAACATACACACTTAAATTTTTATGAGAATAATATTTTGTGTTTTTTCACTCAACAATATATCATAATATTTTCATATCACTACAAATAACTGCCATATTTAAATTTTTTTAAAAATATTTTTTCATTTTATTTGAAAGAGATTTTCAGTCTGCTGTGTCACTTCCCAAATGGCTTTAAAATTTTTATTTATTTATTGAAAATCAGAGTGATGGAGGTTGGGAGTATGGGGAGAGAGAGAAAGATCTAACTGCTGGTTCACTCTCCAGGTGCCTGCAATGGCTGGGGTGGGGCTGGTCTCAGCTAGGAGCTAGGAACTCAATCCAGATCTTCCATTTGAGTGGCAGGGACCCCCAACTACTTGCACAGATCTTTTTTAAAAAAAAAAGATTTATTTATTTGAAAGAGTTACACAGAGACAGGAGAGAGAGAGAGAGAGAGATTTATTCCATCTGTTGGTTCACCCCCTAAATGGCCACAGTGGCGGGGGCTGGGCCAGGCTGAAGCCAGGAGCCAGGAGCTTCTTCTGGGTCTCCCACGTGGGTCCAGGGGTCCAGAGACTTGGGCCATCTTCCGCAGCTTTCTAGGTACATTAGTAGGGAGCTGGATGGGAAATGGAGTAGCCTGGATTTGAACTGGCGCCCTAATGGAATGCCAGCACTGGAGGCAGAGGCTTAACCTGCTGCACCACAGTGCTGGCCCCCAGCACACAGATCTTTAATCTATGTGTTTTAGTTCTGATGAATGTGCACACCTGCATAACCTGCAAGCTTTGAAGATGTAGAACACTGCATTTACCCAAGAAAATCCTCTAGGCTCCTTTCTGGTCACTCCCTCCTCCGCACTGCCCAGATACAACCAGTGCTGTGCTTTCTGTCCTTATAGCCTGGTTATCTTGTTCTTGAACTTCATGAGAATGGAATTCTACAGAGTACTTTAAAAAAATATTTGAAAGGCAGAGTTACAGAGAGGCAGAGGAAGAGAAAGAGATGTCTTCCATCTGCTGGTTCACTCCCCAAATGGCTGCAACGGCAGGAGCTGGGCCGCTCCGAAGCTAGGAGCCTGAAGCTTCCTCCAGGTCTCTCATGAGAGCACAGGGTGCAGGGGCCCAAGGACCTGAGCCATCTTCCACTGCTTTCCCAGGCCATAGCAGAGAGCTGGATGGGAACTGGAGCAGCCAGGACTGAAACTGGTGCCCATATGGGCTGCTGATGTTTCACCCGCTATGACACAGCACTGGCCCCTACAGTGTGTACTCTTTCGTATTTAATTTCCTCTTTCATATAGTGTCTGTCATAGATCCTTTAGTTGTTGCTTGTACCAGTGATAATTCTTTTTTGTTGCTGAGTAGTATTCTACTGTGAAATATACTATGGTGTGTTTATCCATGCTTCTACTGATTGATGTTTAGATTATGAGAGTATGAAAAAATGTGCCATGAACATACAAGGCATCACTGGGCACTCTCTTAACCAGCTTACCCACTGGTCTCAACCCCACATTCATACCATGCGGGCCACCTATTGTTATCCCATTTTACAGCTAAGGTGGTCTCCCGGTGGGTGGTGAATTTACACAGGGGATTTAGGTATTCAGTAGTAGAGATCTGGACTTGGACACCCCACTCCTAGAGAGATGCTGCCGTGTGATGGAAGATATATTGATCAAAGAGCTTTGTGGGCTACAGAGGGCATAAATATTAATATCAAGTGTGTAACAAAGATAACTCTATTTCCGTCTCTTTAGATTTCTTCCCAAAACTATGGGAAGGAAGTGGACATCTATGCTTTGGGGCTCATTCTTGCTGAACTTCTTCACATATGCACCACAGTTGTAGAAACAGCGAAGGTAAAGTGTGTCCAGGAAAGAACTGAGCCAGCTCCAGGGACTGGCCGTCATCTTCCCAGAGCTGGGTGGACAGTCGCTGCCCTCTCCCGAGGATGGGCTGAGCGCATGAGTGCCAGACTGCCAAGGAAATAGGAGTTTTCTTGGATCTGCCTTGGGAAGATGTGTGTGATCTCCCGAGACGCCCATTTCAATCAGCCAGTGAACTTCCATCGATTACCTGCTTGGTGTCCAGCACTTTGCACAAAGCACTGCTAAGTACCATGAGAGTTAGAAAAGTAAACACATCTTGTCAATGTCAAGGGAAGATGTTCTAAGATGCATTTTAGGAGAAGGTATCACGTCTGTGGAAGCAGCTAGGAGGGTCTTTCCAGCTATGAGGATTCAGGTTTCACAGAGGCTGTCGGCTCTTCCCTGAGGGCTCAGCTGGCTTGTAAGAGTCCATGGTAGAAGACAGCTTGGAGACAGGAATGTATGGAGTGTTTTGAGAACAGTAGACGGTGTAGTTATACTGGTGTAGATGAATTATAGGGAAGTGGTGGTTGTTGGGATTAGGAAGATAATTTGGGGCCATGCTTAGAAAAGAATAGGGAGCTTGTGTAGGCCCTGGGGGCGCTGCAGGCAGTGTGCAGCTGGGCATTCCAGCCTGCAGCTCAGGAGAGAGGGCTGGCCTGGAGTCAGCGGGCATCTCCTCTGTGTAACAAGGGTAATCAAAGTGCCTGTCGCAGAGGGCCTCAAAGGGATGAAGGCAGATCCTGAATACAGTTGCGCTCAACACCTGAACACATTGCATTGTTAAGGGTGGTATTGGATTAGAGGTAGGGAGCGGGGAGGGGCGTCCTGCTGGCTTCTTGACCAAAGAGACTTCCCCGAGATCTGGAGATGTCCTAGGTTTAGCATGTCCTCAGCCTTCGGTGCTTTCTATTTCTTTTTTCTCTCAAGTTAATAATTTCTTAATAAATATGTATGTTTTATTCTCAGATTTTCGCCGAGCTAAGGAGGGGCATTTTCCCAGATGTGTTTGACATTAAAGAAGTAAGCCCTTGAACATAATCAAGAAATTTACCTTTATTTCAGTGTTTTATTTCCTAGTGTTGACTCTCATTATCATTACAGAAAACTCTGCTACAGAAATTACTTGCATTGGAGCCTGAGAAACGACCTGACACGTCTGAAATACTGAAGACTTTGGCTGAGTGGAAGAATGTCTCAGACAAAAAGCAAAGATACACGTATTAGGGACCTTTGGAGAAAGTATCTTGCTTCCAATAAGTGATTTTTCTGTAGTTATCTAAAATCTACTGGGGAATATTGCTAGGTACTTACCTTTTATTTTCATTTCCTCCCTTAAATGTTTACGACGTTTGTAGAGACATTTTTATTTTTACCTCAAAAACATTCTTACACTTACCCTTTACTGACTTTTTCCTGATGGTGAAAAGGCTTCAAAATTTCTTCTTTATATTAATTAATGAGTCAATTAATACATATATATTAAATGTCTACTGCTTTTTAGCCAAAAATATATTTCCTTAAATAGCTTACAAGCCAGTTGGGGAAATATGATCCTCATAAAAAGATGTTATAAATAATCAAATTGGAAAACAATTTGATGTTATCTAGTAAAATCTAAGCTCCAACTATCAATTCCTAGCAGAATGTTCACAGAAACCTTGTTTATGATAGCCAAAAGAGCAGGAAACGACTGTAATGCCCATCAAAAGGAGAATGGATTAAAAAAATTATATTCACACACTGAAGTGCTGCATAGCATTGGAAATGAGTGAATTACAGTGCAATGCACAGCACAGTTCCTTTCTCAGGAACATAGTGCTAAGGAAAATCAGGTTTCAGAAAAAAAAGTATATATATATATATATATATACATATATATATATAATATAATACATACATAAATAAAATAATTCCATTCATTTTGTTAAGGAATTCCAACAGATATGGTAAAACAATAGAGGGAAGGCAGAGAATGAGAGAGTAGATTCTGGAGTGATTATCTGAAGGATGGGGGGAGTATCATTGTGGATTGCAGAGGCATTGGTTACTTTTTTTTTTTTTAATAATTCATTTATTCTTTTTTTTTGACAGGCAGAGTGGACAGTGAGAGAGAGAGACAGAGAGAAAGGTCTTCCTTTGCCGTTGGTTCACCCTCCAATGGCCGCCGCGGCTGGCGCGCTGCGGCCAGCGCACCGCGCTGATCCGATGGCAGGAGCCAGGATCCAGGTGCTTTTCCTGGTCTCCCATGGGGTGCAGGGCCCAAGCACCTGGGCCATCCTCCACTGCATTCCCTGGCCACAGCAGAGAGCTGGCCTGGAAGAGGGGCAACTGGGACAGAATCCGGCACCCCAACCAGGACTAGAACCCAGTGTGCCGGCGCCGCAAGGCGGAGGATTAGCCTAGTGAGCCGCGGCGCCGGCCTGGTTACTTTCTTAAACAGGATGTTGAGTCTACTAGCCTTTGCTGCATAGTTGTTCCTTGAAATTTGCTTTGTATCTTTTATGGTCAAGGCTTCAAGGAAAAGGTAACTGCTATGAGGCCATGGCTAAGACAACAGTCTAGAAGAGCAAGACCACTTCTCCGGAGCCCGGGGCTCAGAAGTGACATTCTGGTGAGACTTCCCAGCCGGTGAGGAGCTTAGAAGAGTAGAGAGGAGACCTGGGCAGCCCGGGCAAGGGCATGATGTGAGTTCTGGAGAAGGCGTTTCTGAGGGACACTGGGTATACCGGTTTGTTGCCCTGAATTGCCATAGGGAATACTGGAAGATAATTTGGAATACATCTTGGAATCTCCTGAGGGCTAATTTATACTTCAGAGTAACCAGCTGCCATTCTGAAACTGCCATGTAATTGTACAAGTTTTAAAATGAGCTGAATTTTGGCTAAGCAGAAAACGAGGAAACTCATAATAGTGACAAGAAATATTTTTATAAATTCAAACAGTAAGAGGAAATTTTTTATAAAGGCTTATGGCTTTTTTTAAAATACATGTTACAAAGCAGTGTATATTTTTCAACTCCCAGTGCAGTATTTGATTAAGGCAAGGTTCATCAATGGATGCTCAAACTATTAGCTGAAAAGGTGTTGGGAAACAGAATCGTTACAAGGTTTTAAATATCCACAGATGATTTCTGAGTCAAAAAGAGGAAGATGTATTTTTACAATGGAGAGATCCTGTTGTCACCACAGTCACCAAGTAGCATCACCCAGGGTAGAACAGCTTAACATTTTTCCCCTCCTGAAGTGTGAGTTATACAACATCACCTATTGGGTTTTCATGTTAGAAGTGTCTTAACTAACATTTAATTATGAGATTGTTATAGAAATCCTGAATGTAGTTATTCTATAAGATAATTCTTGGGCTTTTCAAAACAATCAAGACTATGAAAAAAAAAAAGCATGGGAACTATTCTAAATAAAGTGATAAAAGAAATATAGTGACCAAAATGCATTGCTTAAATCTTTATTGTATCTTGGATATTATTAAAAAAAAACAGCAAACAGTTATAAAAGACATCTGGGGATAAATGAGAATACTTAAATATAGACTATATATAACAATTTGAATAATTTTAATTTTCTTAGGTGTGAGAGTAGCATTGTGTTCAAGGTTTTATCCTTGGGCAGTGCATGTAGACATACTGAGAGGTCTGCTACTTTCTGAGGTTCAGTAGGAGTCAGTGTGTATATACAGGATGGGGAGAAAATGACAAAATGCTAACCACTGGACAACTGGTAAATCCAGGTTGAGAGTATTTAGGTGTTTGTTGTATTATTATTTGAGCTTTTCTATAGGTTTGAAAATTTTCTGGATGCACAGAAGTCTTTTAAAGAAAGAAAAACTAAACAATGTGGCCAATTAGTGAGATTACTTTTTACCTTGTCTCATTTTAATATTTCTAGTCTTATGAAGCAAATAGCACCTGTTAGCTCTTATCTATTTGTGAATGGGTATTTTCTCAGCTTCAAAAGTATAGTAAGTAAAAAAGTTTCTTTTTAATTAGAGGAGAGGGGCAAGAGTCAGAGACCTTATTTGTTAATTAAAGTATACGGAGACATACAGTTTTGAAAGAGCCATTTGGATCTAGTTGTTTTACTGTAAACAGATCTTCTAGAAAATTTTATCACTAAGAATATATATTATTCATGTTGAATATGTACATTAACATATTAGACATAATGTACACATGTACACTTAACCTGCCTGTTATATGTTAAATATATTTAGCATCCATGCACACATATGTGTATACATATACTCGTGTGTGTGTGTGGCCAACTACATGATTGTGGAGCTGCTGCAAAATGTAAATGCAGGACCCTTGTTAAAAGATGAAATGGGGTGTACTTTTTTTTTTTAAAGATTTATTTATTTATTTGAAAGTCAGAGTTACACAGAGAGAGAGGCAGAGGCAGAGAGAGAGAGGTCTTCCATCCACTGGTTTACTCCCCAATTGGCCGCAACAGCCAGAGCTGTGCTGATCCAAAGCCAGGAGCCAGGAGCCTCTTCTGGGTCTCCCTCATGGGTGCAGGGGCCCAAGGACTTGGGCCATCTTCTACTGCTTTCCCAGGCCATAGCAGAGAGCTGGATCGGAAGTGGAGCAGCCGGGTCTCAAACCAGTGCCCATATGGGATGCTGGCACTGCAGGCGGTGGCCTAACCCACTATGCCACAGTGCCAGCCCCGAGGGTATACTTCTAAGCCTTATCTGTGTGACCGCACAGTTTGTATATCCATGAAACTATTCCTGCATGTATACATATATATGTGTATATTTATATATGTATCAGAGAAGAAATAGATGAAAGTCTAAATATAAGCTTTTCTAAGCTTCTACTATCTGGTAGATTTCCTGGATAAACTTTTATCAGGGGCTGGTGCTGTGGTGTAGTAGGTTAAGCATCCGCTTGCAGTGGTGGCATCTCATATGGTCACTGGTTTGAGTCCCGGCTGCCCTACTTCTGATCCAGCTCCCTGTTGATGGTGGAAGATGGCCCAAGTGCTTGGGCCCCTGCGCATGTGTGGGAAACCTGAAAGAAGCTCCTGACTTGGCTTTGGATGGGCTCAACTCTGGCCATTGCGGTCATTTGGGGAGTGAACCAGCAGATGGAAGACCTTTCTCTTTCTCTCTCTAATTTTTCCTCTCAAGTAAATAGATTTTAAAAAAAAATCTTACAATATACATTCCTCACCTTAGGATCCAGGCATGCTAACTTTTCACTATAAATATTGAATAATTTCAATGTTAATATATTTATTTTCATACATTTTTATGTTGAAACCTATACAAAAATAGAATAATGAAACTATGTACTCATCATACTGCTTCAACAAATATCAATATTTTGCCTTTCTTGCAACACATACCCCCCATATTTTTTGTTTTGTTTCTTTTGCTGGAGAAGTTTAAGTAAACAAGAGGCATTAACATTTTAGTTGTAAATACTTAAAAATGTGTCTCTAACATAAAGCCTTTGTAATTTAAACAAATTACAATATTGTCACAGTCAACAAAAAAATCAGGACCCAACATTACATTTGGTTGCTATATTTCTTTTCTTTTTAAAATTTTTTGAAATTTATTTTTATTTGAGAGGTAGAGTTACAGAGAGAGAGAGAGAGAGAGAGAGAAAGGTCTTCCAGCCACTGGTTCACTACCCAAATGGCTGCAATAGCTGGATCTGGGCTGATCTGAAGCCAAGAGCCAGGAGCTTCTTCCAGGTTTCCCACGTGGGTACAGGGGCCCAAGGACTTGGGCCAAGGACTAGGCCATAGCAGAGAGCTGGATCGGAAGAGGAGCAGCTGGGATATGAACCCACACCCATATAGGATGCTGGTGCTGCAGATGGAGGCCCAGCCTACCAGGCTACAGCCCTATATTTCTTTTACTCTGCAACTTGTGGCCCTTGTTTTCTTTCCTCTTGCTATTTAATTGAGGAAGGAACTGAATCATCTGTCTTGTGGAGTTTCCTACATTCAAGATTTGACTGATGGTATCCCCTTGGTGTGCATTAGATTTAGATGATTCCATTCTGGTTCAACTCTTCTCCCCCAGGAACACTTCATAGGTGATGCTGTATACTTTCTTTTGCATTACTTTCATTTTTGGTGATTTTAAGATTGATTCGTGGGTGCTGGAGATACCCACTATACAGCTTCCCATCGATCTTCCATCTAATGGTTTTAGCAGCCATTGATGATTGTTGCCTTGATCTATTATTTCATTTTAGAAGTTGCCAAATAGTGACTTTTTGATCCTATCAAACCTTTAGCACTTATCTCTTTGATTCTTCCATAAGAAACTATCTCTAAGGCTGAATGGGAAAGATGAGATAAACATTTATCACTTTTTAGAATGAATTATTGCCCTAGCAACCTCTAAATGTAACAAATGAGTATTCTTTTTAAAGCAGTGGTATGGCCCAACTAGAATTCTGGAGCGGTGTGTCTAGAATGGCTTGAAGCAGGAAGAGATGATTAGATCAGAAGGCTGAAAGACTGAAAGGATC